ATATATATATATATAGCAAATGTATACACTGGTTTCACACAATATTTACTCAAAATTATCAAGAAAAAAAAAGATCCAAATTATCCGAAAAAGTGCACTATACATTGACGAGGCTGATGGTAGATTCTGACAAGGGGGTACACATGAGATGAAATCATAACTATGCTTTATGGCTTCACTCTAAAGATGTGTAGAGGGAGAGAACAGGATATCCTGTGGAGTGACTTTGAATGGAGTTTCCCACGGTAAAGCTGGATTTGGCAGTTTTTCAACTAATTACTCACATTTTTTGAGGAGTTGGTGTCCAGCAGACCTCCATTAAAGAAAGATACTGACATTACATTTACATTAATCTTTTATGTAGCTCAATTAAAGTTTAACCCTATAAAGTCTACTGTATCATAATTGATACACAAATTTCTAAGTCTTCGAAATCAACATGGTCAAAACTTTGCTAAAAAACATGTTGAACACAATCTACTACATCCCCTCAATTGTCTGATGGATGGTTCATACTTTTTTAGCAAGTAAAAGACCTTATGAGAAACGTTGATTTGTCCATCTCTCAGTCATCATTTTATTTTCATAATGAAAACTAGTTTTGATTAAAAAAAACTAACCATTTAAATATCCTCTTACTAAGACATATTGGGAGATTTAGAGTGACAACTGATATTGATATGCATTTTAAAGATCTCATTTAGTTACATTTTTCTTATTTGCATTGTTCTGACTATTATTTCATATCTCAGGCTTTGCAGGGTCAAGTTAATCTGACTTTGTTACCGTTTGAGATGTCTGGTTAAATTAAATGACTTAATTGAACCTGACAAAGCTACAGGCTATATCTTTCATATAATATTATATTTAATTTTATAACTTGTGAAAACTGTCCTGAGTCACAAAACTCATGATCTGAGATATATTTTAATCCACTGTGCAAGTGGATTGTGTAGCACTAAAGCACGCTCAGTCCTCAGCTCAATATAAATGACATAATTTAGTGTTGAATCCTGAATATTATAGGAGACTCTTTATTTTTTTGAAAACTCTTAGTTATTCACGTTCTTGTCCATGTTCCAGGAAGGAAGTCACATCAATTATACTTGTATTTTATTTAATTTTTTTTACTGTTAGTGGTGGTGTAGCATCGTAGTTAAAAAAAAATAAAAACGTTTATAGAATTGCAACTGCAAGGATTGATATCATCATTATGCCCTTTTGTAAATTACTTAAAGGGATAGTTCACCCAAAAATAGAGATGCATTGATCGATCGACCAGGGATCGGAATTGGACGATTTTCCTCATGATCGGCCCGGATCGGTGACCGGCCGGTCAGTCTCTGTGGATAAACTCTTAAAGGGACCACAGTCCAATATTCCTGCTGCTGTCTGTCATGTTAATCAAAGAACAAAAGACAAAGAAAATCACTTTCTGCTCTTGACTGAATACGTTTCATCACGCTCATTGGCTGCCTCCTCTGTAGATACGCTAGTAGCGTGGTGTTGTTCGGTGACGAGAATCGCGACAATGGAGCACACTGATAATAGTGCTTTAGCAGCGAACACTACGGGAGAATTAGTACTTGTATGGCGAAGAAGCAGAAAAGCGTTAAAGACAGAAAGACCGACGAAGACAAAAACAAGCGTAAACGTCGGTACTTCATACACAATGTGGACAGATTTGATGACAGAGAAAATCCCGAGTACGTTAGTGATGTCCTGGTTGCTTTTTTATTGTTGAATGGGTAAGGGAATTACTTACTGTGTTGATTTCTAAAACTCACTAGTGTAATTTACATAAAACTCATTATCATGCTATAGTGTTTAACACAATAGTGCAATCGGTACTAGTACGTTAACACGAAAAACTGCGATGCTAACGCTAGCCATACATCTACCGAATGCATATTTAAAGCTTCCATTATGGAAAAAAACAACCCATTACAATTTATCGGTCTATCTATCAAACTAATAGATGAATAGTGCATCCAGTTGTTTTGGGCGATGGTGAATACTAGAAGATATCAGACCGCTGGATGGCGCAATTGACCAATAATTTCTAAGAGCTGTGTACTAAACTTTTGTTTGTTTTTTACACTCTATGGTACTAAAGCATCAGTACACCAAAAGAGTACATTCAAAGTTTTAGATCTTTAGACCACATTAATCTTAGTACAAACCGTGCTGCTTAATCACCTGACATTTAATATTTAATAAATGTCTTTTGGGGTTTTGAATTATGGAGGTTGTAATGAAATTAATTTTTTTTTAAATTGCCAAGTAAGAACAGCTTTTTTAACGTTATGGATGAATTGACTGTGTTTTGTGTTACACCTGCGTTTAATATCAGAAGTGAACGTTGTAATTTCTGCTATCAATGTCATTTCCAGGCCACTCGTGTATGTTTCAGGTGAGTTGACCAGCTTGGAAAACTGTTGCCTATGTGTATGGCCTATATATTCTTAGGAATGATAAATGCCTATATAATATGTAACCTTGTTAGAATCAATTGAACAAAAATAATGTACAGTAACCTTAAAAAGGAGAACAGGTTTGCATGATATTAAAAATGACAAAATCCGTGGCATTTTAATTGTCCATGCATGGCATATTTGACTAATGTTAACCTCTCTATATATAAAGCTTTAATATAGCTACGTTTGTGTGCTTAATTATATGCTAATTTTATATATGGAACGTCTTTAAGAAATACAATAGAAAATATATTGGCAGCGGTGGGATTCGAACCCACGCCATCGAAATGACTGGAGCCTAAATCCAGCGCCTTAGACCACTCGGCCACGCTACCATGAGACTTCACAGTCGAAAGATTAGTGTAATAAAAATGAGCAATCTTAATGTTTCATAATAAAAAAAGTTGCAAGTTGGACTTAGCCTATCGACTCGCTTTAAACAAACACCGCTCAATCGTTATTACATTTTTTTACTTGTTAATTTTGCAAGTGTCATAAAACCGAATCGTTAGAAATGTCACGGAACAACAGGGTAACTGATTACATGTAACGTAATCTGGATTGCGTAGTCAGATTCCAAAAATTAAGCACTTGCAATTTGATTAAATTACATTTTAAAATTATAGCTGAAAGATTAGTGTAATAAAAAATGAGCAATCTTAATGTTTCATAATAAAAAAAGTTGCAAGTTGGACTTAGCCTATCGACTTGCTTTAAACAAACACCGCTCAATCGTTATTAATTTTTTTTACTTGTTAATTTTGCAAGTGTCATAAAACCGAATCGTTAGAAATGTCACGGAACAACAGGGTAACTGATTACATGTAACGTAATCTGGATTGCGTAGTCAGATTCCAAAAATTAAGCACTTGCAATTTGATTAAATTACATTTTAAAATACTAGTAATCAGACTACAGTTACTTTTTTATTGTTTACATGATTACATGTTTTTCAAAAAGAAGCAATACATTATTCATAATTTATTGATTCTCCCTAATTCCTCTTTTTCATTTTTTTAAATGTTCTAAAATAGATAAATGTTTCTAAAATAGCCTACCGCTTATATACGCTCAGAAAGTCTTCCAGTTTTGTGGACATTCACCCAAAGACCAGTCATTAGTCAGGTGGCTACACAGCATTTGACCACTGGATTTACAAAAATCATTTCAGGTTTAAGAAGTCTTTCAACATTGCATCAACTAGTTATTGGTGAACACATTAATTTTTATTTGAATTATCACTCAGTATGTTATTTAACCATGTGTTACTATGTCTTCTGAAGGCTTTTGTCTTTCAACACACATTAAAATGCACAAATTCACATTATTTCTCATTTACATGTAATGCAGGCATTCCCAAACTTTTTTGAACCATCTGAACCTTTTTCACCTAATATATTTACTTGAAGTCGAGATGTAGAAATGTTAAAATAAATATTTTAATAATTAAGCATCACATTTGCTTGTTCGTGGTTCTCCGACGTTGGTTAATGGTAATATGACATTCAGGTAAACAAATAAAATATTAACGTTTTTAGTATTTTTAATCGATGTTATTTTAAAATGATTTATTTTCATTTTAAATTTTTATTATTTAATTAATTATTAGCTTTTCATTAAACTCGCAAACCCCCTGCAGTTCCTTTGCGAACCCCAGTTTGGGAAATATTAACTTAATGTAATGTTTAGTGCTCTTCATGTTGTTAAATTACAATGAATGGAATATATTTTCTTACTCTTTGTATTTTTATATCAGTATGGTACAAGACTGACCTATTTAAATCAATGTCAAGTTAGGTCAAAAGTAATCTAAAAGTAATAAAAAATCTGATTATACTACCTAAAATGTGTAATGTAATGGATTACGTTACTTACTACAATTTTTGTCATGTAATTTGGAATCAGTAACTACAATTTGTTAGTAATCTACCCAGCACTGGCTTCACATGTGATGATGCTGACACTGGCAACAAAATGAATACCAAGCAAGAACACAAAAATGTCCGCTCGGTATGTACGCCGCTTCAGTGTGATGGGCGGATCTGTTCTTTTTCACAGTGGCTACGTGCAGCTAGTCCTCACCAGTGTGGAGTCCTGCCCTGCCCCCGCGAACATGCGATTCTACTATGGTGAAGGGTCCTCTCATGAATATTAATTAGGTAACGTGACGTGGACCTAGTGCGCCTACTTGATTTGATTTTGGAATGTGGCCGCTTGAAGGCTTGGCTTATAAATATTAATTTACTCTATGTGTCCAGGAAACGCTAGCACGAATAAATTAATATTCATGAGCCATGCCCTTGCCTTAGTAGAATTCGTAATATTCCGTTGAGATCGATAACAACATGAGCTCCCCCATAAAAGGCCATGTGATTGACTATGGCACGTGGCTCTCTTTGAATATCAAGTTGACGTTTTTTGACATTAAAAAAAAAAAATGGAAATCTGTTTGTGTATTTTAATTATTGTATATTTGTTTACTTTACATATTCAGATACCTAATGTTTCTCTGAAATGAAATGAACGAATGTATTTTTTGTTACAGCCCACTAGAGGGCTAAATGCAGCTTTGTCGTTGTCCTGAGAGGAATCAACATTTGCTCGCAGTCCAGGACACGTAGAGCACATTTCTACAGAGGCACAGTAAAGCTGTCACTGGCCAGTGTGCTTGAGACACAACCGCAGCTGAAACTTCCGTTCAAACGCGCAATTCATTGATGATTTGGCTTCCTTTTTTAGAAAGGGTGTGAAGGCGATTCGAGATAAGTGATATTATCTGTCTCCTGTTTTCGTTATGTCTTCAATCTAGCAGCTTTATTCATTCTAACGTAAGGTATGTGACATGCACTTTTGCTTATTCTTGCGCTCTGTACCTTTGAGCTGTTATGCTTTGTTGTTAATAGTATTTATGCAGCAAATTACATTAAATTGAAGCTTAAAACGAATGACGGTGTAACTTGAATGTATTAAAACGTAATGATTTTGTCATTCCAAACTGATGTTTTAAGTATATATAATGGAATGCATGAACAGGAACAGGTTTATCTCGGGACTGAGATTAGCGAATACCTTCACATTTGATCAACCTGTTCTTGATCATTCGTTTCTCAGTTCATCTTTTCTTGAAACGAATCTGCTGATGTAGCTGTATTTGACTCTTGTGCTTGTTTGGATTTGACACTTGTGCTTGTCTAATGTGCTTGTTTGTAGTTCTGGTGCACAACACAGTGGGACATCATGGCTGAGGAGGAGCTCATGTTTAGTATGGAGGAGGTGGGAAGTCCTCGGGATGGACCTAGGAATGGGTGTGCTAAGAGTGGAGTGGCTTTCCAAGAGTCCAATGCAAGTGATGATGATGAAGATGACATCCGTATCTGCTCCATCACCGACGACCCAATAAGCCCTACTATAGGCTTCTTTGACTACCCAAAGAACGTCGTTTGCAACCAGCAGTTTTCGAATTCATTGCCCAAAAACTCCTTCACATACAGGGTGAGTCTTTCCCAGTTAATCTACAGTTGTAACACTTTACTGTAAGCAATACGGTACAATAGGTTGTGCTAAAATTTTGAATATAGGTCATATATGTACAATACAGCTGGACTTTGAGTGTCATATTGCTTTTATAAAGCTGTTACTACATAATAAAAATATTAAGGGCACAGACATTCATTACGTTATTGTATTAAGCAAATACATGAAGTAGCGTCTTCCTAGATAAATGTAGTCCCTAGCATGTAAACAAAGGCTATTTTTGGACCAGCATACCACTATTTGTGCTATTTATGTAGTACACAGCATGTTTATCCTGTGTAGTATCAGAATTTTATGGTACTTGCATAACATTTTTTCAAAAAGGTGCAGTATACAGCAACTGAATGCCACAATGTAATAGTGGTGAATGCCTCTGACACAAATTACATAGAAATGTACAATAGCTGTTTTTATTTTTGAATTACACATTTGATTAATATAGACATGTGACATACTAGTGTTTGACACATTAATCAATGCATAATGTTTCACATACTATTTCATACTATTACAATAGCTATATCATACTATTGCAGTAGCATAGATGAATACATTATGTATTTTAGCATGACTGCAATGCTGTACTGCTGTAATGCTGTATCATTATCCAGAACTGGAATTATCCATTTCATAATCGTATTTTGGTGGTAATCCAAGAACGTCCTTGTCTTGTTCATGTCTACTTAGACAATGACCTCTCTGTATCTGTAATGGTAAAAAAGATCGCCTGTACCACAGAGAACTAGTGAACAAATATTTTTTTCTTAACCACAAAGCTTTTTGTGCTGTTATCAGAAGCAGCAGTGAACTAATGTACAGTATGCAAAAATTGTTTTCCTCCCATCTCTGTGACAAACTCACTTCCATATATGGAGCTCTCTCAAGCTCTCATGATGTGACTTCCTTAACCTCATGGACAGTAAATTTTACTGTAAACAAGTCAGGTTGCATTTATACTAATATTTTTGTGCTTAAACAAGTGGGTTTGTCTATTCCTTAGAACAAAAATGAAACCGAGCAAGATGGGCACTCTGTCAGGTTTGGCTCTTTAACTGAGAAAGGCCGGGTATGTTTAATACAAGTTTCGATTTCTACCCTTCACCTTTACTGTTTCTTTCCCAGATTGTATTAATCCATCTTACATTGTGGCATCTAGCCTGGAATCCATGATCTTTCTTTATTTCACCTTATTTTCCCTTTCATTCCTTCTGCATTTGCTCGCTGTGAAAAGAATATCTATTAGGGATGCAAAGAACGTGTGTCTGATACAGACAAAAATATTTGATCTGTTATTGTTGATATAATGGCTAATATTGTAAGTCGAGTACAGTTTACTTTCTATTTTCGAAATGCATGTTATCTCTTTTTTTGAACAATTCATCTGTATATATATATATACACTGTGTGCACAATTATTAGGCAAGTGATGATTTTGACCATATCATCATTTTATCCATAATTTCCAAGTCCAAGCTGTATAAACTTGAATGCTTATTGGATTTAATGCATAGTAGAGAAGATGATACTTTTTAGTGCTTTTTTAACCTAGCATAGTAAAAGACTTTTCTACTTCAATAGAAAAAAAAACACGTTATAAAACTATCAACACAGATACTGTGTTGCTTATGAATACCTATATCATGCTATGTCTTATGACACATGGATAATGTTTCCATACTTTATGGGTTCCCTGTAAAGAGGAGCCCACACTTTCCTAGTGTCTGACGTATATTTGTACTCACTGTCTCACTGTGACCTTTCAAAAGGAAATACATAATTGGCTGAATGTACTTGGCCACAGGATCTACGTTTACTGGTTATTTTGAGATATCGTGTCATGTCTGCCGCATGTCAGGTTTATTTCACTGATGACACTCGGATCATGATGAAACTTTTATAACTGTATTGTAGTAAAGTAAACTAGATCTCTTACAGCTGTTATTCAGAATTTGCAAAGCACAAAGTTCAGGAAATAACCAAGCCTGGGGTGTGTGCTCCTGACAAAATGCTTAGCAGGATCACAGAACAGCAACTTGTTGTTGGAGTACCTGTCCAACAGGAACGGGAATCAAGGGATTTAACAATTCTTGTTTCAATTCTGATTCCTAAAGGGAACAGGATGTCTTAATAATCATTTTATGAAATATTTTAATGAGCAATCTTTTTTATATGATCTTGCTCAAATTGATTGGGATAAAATTACTTTAATTCCAGATTTTCTGATGGTATTTCTTTAATTTTTTTAACTGGGATCCCTCACCTAATGTCTACTGAACACTTTCAGCATTGATTCAAGCTTTTCTTTGTCCTTTTATTCCTGCATGACCATTATTGTAGCATACCTCTTTTCCTCCAGTACCTTCCCTCTTTTCCCAACCATTGTTTTGTGCTTGCACATAGCCGTAAAATATAACGTGGATCTCTACCATCTTCAGTTTTTCCACCCATACAGGAGGATGTGGAAGTTTTTCAAACAACTTCATTTTTTCTTGATCAGGCAACTTGGAAACATGCTATTGAGAAAGCCAAAGCCATGCCAGATCCTTGGGCTGAGTTCCATCTGGAGGAAATCGAGACAGAGCGCTGCACTCGATACAGGTGAGTAAATATGGGGCCTTTTGAAGTGTTGACCTACTGTTCATGGAGTGGAGGTTTGAATCCAGCAAGAGGCAACACATAAGCAGTGTTAGAGAAGCTCATTTGAATCTTTAGACAGCCAAGCTACAAGCTAGGTCAAGCTAATCTTTGGGAAAAGACCTGAAAGGCTTTTGTTCATCTTCAAAACACAATTGAAAATATTTCTGTCCATCCAACCAAAACTTTGACTTGAATCGAGTGGTTTGATGCAGAGACACACTTTATATGATGAACAGATTAAATTTAGACATTTATTCACATATAAACTTTGATCAATGCACATACAAGAAGCATCAAAAATGGTAAACAGAAGGTCAACTGTACTTGCTTGATACGCAAGAACAAACCTCATTGATTCTCCCACATCAAGCAAGCACTTTTGAGGCTCTGTTTACCGAAAATATCTTCACTTGTGTTTCAGAAATGAACAAAAGTCTTATGGGTTTGGATTAGAGCAACATGAGGGTGAGTAATTGATGACAGAATTTCATTTTTGGATGAATTATCTAATTAAATTAACAACTACCTCAGTAAAAATATATGAAATATAAAAATTAGGGTTTTGAATAAATTAACGATTTCAGTTACAATGACAGAAACACAAAATCCACTTAAAACTAGAATGTTACTGCACTAATTTGAAAACACCTGAGCTGCTCTCATATTACTGAAAAATGTCAAATATTTTTAATTAGTGAGTCCTCAAACTGCACATGAGATTGACCCTTGTGCCCTATCATCACTGAACTTTGGTTTCCTCCTGTTACCAGTCCTGAGTTTTTACCACTATGCCACATCACAGACACCTGACACAACTCCTCAATCTCATATGATTTCAGAACGTCTCACCGCATGTTAAATAGCACTGTAAGAATAATGTTAGATGGATAAAAACACAAGGGGTCCGCTCCCAGTTTCAAGACTCTATTTTTAAACATTTGTAACTTCACACCTCTAAAATATCCCTTGACTTCCAGCCAATGGCTGTGTTTGCCATTAAACAACTGCGTCTGATGGGTAGGTCTACATGGTACACAGTATTCTGGGCAACGGGGGGAAAAACAGCACTTACTTGTGTAAATATTGGGCGTTTGCTTTTAGGACTGTGCCCATTGTGCAGTATTTGCTCTATTAACTCTTTCATTAACTCTTCCAATGAAGACGAATAATCACTTTTTTTTTCTTCATAATGTAGAAGATACATTTTTTAAGGTAAAATACATTTACATTTGTTACATTTACATCTCCATGTAGCCACATAGTTTGAGGCTGATTTCCAGTTGCTGCTGTGGAAAAAGTTTGAGAACTACTTCCTGAGAATGAAAGGGAATAGAAAGCTATATTTAAAGTGATTAAAGTGTAAACATGTGTTCTTGCTCTTTAGATACAATGCAGTTACTGGTAAATGGGCAAAAGACGACATATTTATCAAGGTTTCCTCTCAGGTATTGTGGCACTATAATACACTTGTTTTCTGTGAAAGTAAATGTGTTAATACTGATTATTTATGTTTTTTTTTATTAATTAAATTCTACTTAAATTCTATTCTATTTTTTCACAGGTGTTTGGAAAAGGAGCCATGAGGGAATGCTATAGAGCGTAAGTCAAGCCAATTTAATCATATATATATATATATATATATATACCATAGACTAGATAAATATTACTGTTTATTAATGAGCATTGGTTTTAAGTAAAAGTACAATTGTACAGTTTCTTGTTATTGTAGTCAAGTTTTTCCATAGTTTTTATTCACCTTTTAACCTTTTTGTAGTTAATGTTTTTTTTTTATTAGATGTACAAATATTCCATGTAATTGTTTAATTGCATATTATAAATTGCACATTATAATGTTAAAAGTGTTAGAAAAATTATGTGTAGAGTAGTTTTACTTGTCACGCTGCAGGACATTACTGACACTGCTTGACACATCTTTTACTTCTGAACTCATATTCACCACATTAATCAGCCTGCCAACATTGTATTAAACATATTTGTTATGTTTTATAAAATATAAATCCCTTTAGTTGGAATGTCCCTTTCTTATTGGTATATCTTCCATTTTTCAAGTGATAATTTTAATGGCTATTTATTTTTTGTTTTTTGTTGACCTGTAGCTTTCTTTTCTCTTTCATTCACAGGAAGAAGTTGTCAAACTTTTCCCACAGCAGCAACTGGAAATCAGCCTCAAACTACGTGGCTAAGAGATACATGGAGACCGTGGACAGAGAGGTTTACTTTGAGGATGTGAGGTTACAAATGGAGGCTAAATTATGGGGCGAGGAGTTCAATCGCCACAGGCCTCCAAAACAGGTACTTATTTGGTGGATGTAGTTTTTAAACCAGGTTTAACCACTCAAACAATATCATATATGAATTTTGTACTTCTTTAACATATCCCATCATTATTAGGTTGACATCATGCAGATGTGCATTGTGGAAATGACTAGTCGCCCTGGGAGCCCTTTGTTTCACCTGGAACACTACATTGAGGGAAAGTACACAAAGTACAACTCTAACTCTGGTTTTGTGAGGGACGATAACATACGGCTTACACCTCAGGTATGTTGTCAAAAATGTAACAAATCTGAATCTTTTGTCCCTGGGAAATGATGTGTGGTTATTTATTGGCAATTATGTGTTTGTGGTTTTAGGCATTCAGTCATTTCACATTTGAGCGCTCTGGACACCAGCTGATAGTGGTGGACATTCAGGGTGTTGGGGACCTTTACACAGACCCTCAGATCCACACTGAGAAGGGAACTGACTTTGGAGATGGCAACCTAGGTATTTATTAACATCCTGCATTTTTTTCTCCTTAGAAACTTGAAGACTTCCAATTTGATTTGTCTTAAAGGAGTAGTTTACTCCCAGAATAAAAATTTCCTGATAATTTACTCACCCCCATGTCATCCAAGATTTTCATGTCTTTCTGTCATCAGTAGCAAAGAAATTAAGGTTTTTGAGGAAAGCATTCCAGGATTTTTCTCCATATAATGGACTTCACTGGTGGCCAACAGGTTGAAGGTCCAATTTTCTGTTTCAGTGCATCTTCAAAGGGCTCTACACGATCCCAGCCGAGGAATAAAGGTCTTATCTAGCGAAACGATCGGTCAATAAAAAAAAAAAAAAATTGTGATACTTTTTAACTACAAATGCTCGGCTTGCACTACCTTCGCTATGTGCGTGACGTAATCACGTTGGAAAGGTCACGCACCATTAGCTCTTTTTCTGTGTACTCCGGTTAAAAAAGGTAGGGTAGGGCGAAAAACTCCATCTCATTTTCTTCGCCAACTTCAAAATCGTCCGACATCGTTGTTTTACCTTTTGTTGTAAAGGCCATTTGACTTTCTTTGCATGTTTGCTTTGTAAACACTGGGTCGGTTCTTCCGTCTACGTCACGCATGACCTTTCCAACGTGACAACGGTATGGTCGAGCTAGTGCAAGACAAGCATTTGTGGTTGAAAATCTAACTTTTTTTTTTTTAAAGAAAATTACCAATCGTTTCGCTAGATAAGACCCTTATTCCTTGGCTGGGATCGTGTAGAACCCTTTGAAGCTGCACTGAAAGCGCAATTTGGACCTTCAGCCCATTGGCCCCCATTGAAGTCCATTATATGGGGAAAACAATTTTTCCTCAAAAACTTTAATTTCTTTTTTGCGACTGAAGAAAGAAAGACATGAACATCTTGGATGACATGAGGGTGAGTAAATTATCAGGAAATTTTTATTCTGGAAGTGAACTATTTCTTTAAGTTTAAGTAATGTAAGCATGAGAAACATTTGTAGTGATTGTCTATGTGTTTGTGTTTCAGGTGTGCGTGGCATGGCTCTTTTCTTCCACTCTCACCTGTGTAATAAGATCTGTAGGAGTATGGGCCTTACTCGTTTTGACATGTCCCCTTCTGAAATTGCAGAGTTGGACTGCACCAACAAATTGCTGGTAAGGATAGTGTGAGAGATTTGGGCCAGTTGATGGAGCTGTTCAATAGTGACATTGCTATATTTATATAGAGTGCTGCAGAGATGACGTATTTTTGTAGGCCAGCCCGGAAGTTAGCATCACCCTGGTTTCCTCGAGAAAAACCCAGTAGGATTTTTCCATCGGCTTTTGGATTATTGCAAAAAAATAAGCTTTGTGACCGACAAAAGTTTGATTCTTTCACCGTGTCTACACACTGGACGCGAGCGGTGCAGCACGACGCGACAAAATACTATAGAACCCAATAATCAATGATGCTGTCTACACTAGATGCAGCGCGGTGCGACACGACAAATCCCCGACAGCAAACTGGTGCCTCGTTCTATCTATGATGTACTGACACAAAATTCAAATGATTTGCAACGGTCGCTTTGTCGACTTTAGCTGTTGCGGTGCGACGTGGCGCGGCGTGACAACTGTCGCATCCATTGTAGACACGGTGTTTGTTTTGTTCATCTCGATAATCTTCACAAATGAACATAACTTTTATGAATTTTGAAGCCTTAATACAATGGCAGAAGCTAAAAGCTAAATGCAGGCTATAGATGAACAACATCCCGGTTGCATGACTTTAGTGTCACCACCATTAAGCTTCAGACAACTCTATTTATTAAAAAAACTTTTCCCTGAAAGTTTGAATTAGAATAGTTTACAAGAGCACAATTATAAACGCAATGAGTCTGTAAACATGGACCAGTGAGTAGATAAGTTTACGTTTTCGACGTTAATATCCCCTACAACCTCTGTAGGCCCAATTAGCCACAAGTAAAATATTGTTACTTAATAGAAGCGGGTATTTATGGAAGCCCGTTTCCGCCACTGAATAAAAAAAAAAAAAAAGTTTATTGCGACTTTTTATCTCACATTTCTGACTTTTTTTCTCGCAATTGTGAGTTTATATCTCGCAACTCTGACTGTTTTTCTCACAATTCTGACTTTTTTTCTCATGCGAGTTATAAAGTCAGAATTGCGTGATATAAACTCGCAATTGCGAGTTAAAGTCCAGTTTTGAGGGGGGGGAAAGACTATGTTCTCATAATTGCGAGTTTATATCACGCAATTCTGACTTTATTTCTCCGAATTACGAGTTTATATCACGCAATTCTGAGAAAAAATGTCAGAATTGTCAGATAAAAAGTCGCAATTACCTTTTTTCTTTTTTATTCCGTGGCAGAAACAGGCTTCCATAGGTATTACTGATGTATTGTATGTTGTAGAATAAAACATTAAAAAATATCTCGAGCTTGTGTCAACCACAGATCTTATTTCAGCCATTTACCCAAAAACCCATTCAGAAAACCCTTTGACTTCAGGATGTTGGAACTGGAACTGCTAAAATGCTAACTCGTTTCTGGGTTTTGGCCAACAAAAATGTCATCCTGCAGCACATCTATAGCTGATATATTGATGTACCATTTTTCCATGGTTAACAAAAAAATGCTATACTAAAATATTATATTTTGATTCTGATAGTTAATTAAAATATATGCTTTTTTTTTTTTGGTGTGGCCAGTGAAAATATCACTGGAATTGCTGACCTAATCAGGCCAACAGAATAAAATTATTCTCGCTTAGCGCTGCATTCACAAATTGTTGCAATTGTTTATTCATTTCTGCAGGTTTTCTAAATAAATTCTTTTTTCTTAGCAGCAGTCAGCTAAGACTGTCCTCCGTGGATGTGAAGAGCAGTGTGGTTCGCCCAGGGTCCGGACGACCTCTCTCGGCCACATGCCTGTTCTCCTCTCGCGGCACTCTGAGACCTCCTCAGTTGATGAAAGCAGTGACACAGACTCGATTCCCTGTTCTCCACTTAGTATGGGCATCTCTGCAGGCCGATCACCCATGGGTAATCCTGTACTAACCCAGCACTATGTGTGAATGCACTTGAGTGGTCCACCAGAGTAATATCAAATCCCCTTCAAGCCAAGTCAGATCAAGTCAGTGGCAGATATTTATTGTGTAGGTTACAAGCATGCAGTCGCAACCTACTTGAATGGAGAAAGACTGAAAGGCTTAAAAGTAGGTTTTAATAACATTTATAGTTAGTAGTTCAATTTGAAAACAGTGGTATCACACTTTTTTGCTTTCTTTACTGAATAAAGCAGTATTTTTCAGACAGGTCTAGTTAAATGTTATTAATACAGTTATCCATCTCCTCCTTCACATATTGTCTATGGTAATATCAGTGTGTAACAGTTGCCCCCTACTTAAGGCAACAGACAAAACAATGAATGAATCTTTTTTTAGGGTCTTTTGCAATAACAATTTGTCAGCTGTCAGGATGTTACAACCATCTGGAAACCCTTTTTTCAAATATAAATATTTAAAGTACAAGAAGTGCCTCCACTTGTTGTCAGCTGGCCGAGAACTGAAGTGGGCTTTTGACTGGCTGGTTGTGATGTTACTAAAATTACCAGTTATTTCTATGGGAAAACAAAGGTAAATATTCAATGGGCTTGGCTATTTTTAGAAAGAAATGTTCTCTATGCTTTCAAAATGCTTAAAAGTTTAGTGTGTTGTTTGACACCTACAAAGGAAAAGTCCACAACCATCTTTTTATATTTTGATACCAATATGCATAACAGAAAACTGCAGTAAAAATAATGGTTGCTCTAAACATGCTTGTCTGCAGCAGTGTGATTTATAAGAAATGTCCCCATAGAAATGACAATGAAAAGGAAAGTATTGTAGTAAGGGTTTGTTTTCCCTAATGCTCAATTATGTTCCTCCCAAGTGTATGGTGCACTGCTGATGGTATCTATGGCTTACTTCATGAATATTAATTAGCTGGTGTTGAAGTTGCTAGGTAACCCTCCAGGGCCAGCATGCACCAACCTTTTATTGTTTTGATTAGTATTATAAGCACACACATTCTAACTTACATATATAAGGATTTAGTGGAGTATATACTTGTTTAAAAAATATCAACATTTTGAATATTTAATATTATGATTGGAAACAGCATTAACAAAAGTGTTCAAGCAATTAATATCAACAGCAACCTGATTCGTAGTACTATATTTTGTTCAATTAAAACACATTGGATTAAGACATTTTTCATTTTTTTTCAATCCATGTGTACAAAGAAACCAACCACAACATATTTTATTTGTGAATTTCATTCTCACATCTGTCAGCAGTCAGGACATTCTAGCTGAAATGTAAAGTTTGTTCCCATATGTCAGGTTCATACAGCTTTAGCAGCTTTTTTTTTTTAGGACAACTGTGCATTCATTTTTATTCATTTCCCCACTACTATGTCTATGTGTGTTTACAGGCTGGTCATTTATGAATGAAATGAATGAGGCATATCGAGCTAACACAGATCACAAGGTCAGTTTATGAATAAGAATATATATCCACAGTTAACAGTGACATTAAATTCATTGATATTTTGTGGAAACTGATTTGATTTAAGTTGATTTTAGCAGCAATGCAAAGCTGATTACTTCTGTGAAATGTAATTGCATTCACAGGACTCAGAGAATGGAGGAGACAGTGGTTACCCCAGTGAGAAACGCAGTGAAGGAGACTCAGTCGAGCATCACAGTCAGGTACAGATTATCAGCTGGCTAGACAATGCAATTATTAAAATGAAATATTAAAATGATGATAATTTTATACAAATATTAAAATGATGTTGTATATTTTCAATATATATTATATTGTTATACTATGTTATATTAATCACAACATTATTTGTATCTGGCACAAAAACAATGAGGGTTTTTGATGATTGAGCCATTTCTTTGAAGGTGTCACCTTCAGCATTAAAACCCAAACAAATACAGAACATTTTAAACTAAACCAAGAATTTACAACTGTTGTATTTAAATAAGAAATTGAAATTAGAAGCTATTAATCCGTGTATCATTCGATCATTCGTTTTTTGATTTAATATTGAAAGTAGAAATATGAGAAAACGGCTCCTTTTTCGTTTTTTTTCCAAAACACGAAAAACGAGAATTCTGCTTAAATGTTCGTTTTTCGTTCTTGGGTGGAAAAATTAATAAACAGCTTGAATATTCTATTTCTACACGTGGGCAGGAATTAAACGTCCCTTTCTGCTGATTGGTCAGCCGAAGATCAAACCGTGCCGTCATCAGTTCCAAACTCAGTTCCTGGAGGGCCACAGCCCTACATAGTTTAGTTCCAACCCTGCTCCAACACACATACCACATAGTTTTCAAATAAGCCTTAATGTCTTGATTAGTTGGATCAGGTGTGTTTAATTAGGGTTGCATCTAAACTGTGCAGGGCTGTGGCCCTCCAGGAACTGAGTTTGACACCCCTGGTCTAGACTCTGCCCCTGTACGAGTTGTGTCGAGCTATTC